GGCTTTCAGATTGGTGATTACACTCTCAAAAACTATTTGAGAGTGTAATTGGAGCTTCTTCTTCTTTTGAATCTTGACGTTTAAGCCTTTTTCTTTTTGATCTTATTGTTTGCCATGGGTGTTTATTATTTTGAGAGTCTTCATGTTTTTCATCTGACATTAAATCATATTTATTCTGTGTTTCTGGCAGTTCAAGTTAGCATCAGGTAAGTTAGTTTGAGGTAGAATGAAAAAAGTTGGTTTACTGGGCATCTATTGGCTGTACCTAATATTGTTATTGATAATTATCAAAAGGTATCATCAAAAAATTTACATTAAGTTTTTACAGTTATTTTGACAAATATTGTTTAAAATATGTTAATCTCCAACATCATTAAGACTAAGCGCAACCCGTTAAACATATTTTACATATTTGGCAAATGTATTATATTTGTGCAAAATTTTAGAATGTGTTAAATTCGTAAAACAATTTAAACATTTGTTTTCAATACACTATTTCAGTCCTTTACAAATAGTTTTCCAAGACTTTTACTGTAAAATAATTATGGGAGAAAACAAAGATAAACAAAATACACTCTATATATTCAATGTAGATTTAATAATTAGTATTATCATGTCTTAATCGAATCATTTCTACATCTTGAATGTAATTTTATTTCAATTAATATTAATGGCAAGAATTCTGATTAGGGAATGCAGAAATTGGTATAGTACGAAAAGACAATAGGGAAAGATCAGATTAGCATCAGCCGCGTCTGTCTTTGTCGTTACCCCAATGGCCTAAATACGATAAAAGTCCAGGAACATCTGTTGTTAATCGAGTGATGGAGGTCGAACTGTTGGTGAGGTATACAACATAGGAAATTGCTTAATAATAGAATATAAACCTCTTTTGAATCGATAACTGAGATAAAAAAGAAATTAGAAATGATTGTTTTGTATAAAAATACGAAATTATGAAAGATATTAGCCAAGAAGAAACTAATATAATATCTTCATTATGTTTGCTTTTATTACAATACGAGGTCGACTTCTTTTCTTGTTCTCGTCTACTGTTATTGTCTTTGGTCTAATATCCTTTCAGTATGTACTATGAACATTCTATAGTGAGCACCAAGGGGTGTCACATTAAATCTTTTGTATTAACTGATCCAGTACTACTGTAAATAGATAAGAACTTACTAGTGATCCAAAATTTAATCATAATCTTAAATTATAAATTCCACATTATATAACTGTCTGTACAGTAGCTGTTACTCATAATTTTCACATACTCACCGAGAACTTATTTTCTAATCAGATCAAATACAAAATCTCTTTAGATACTATAATACACTTTTTCTCAAGATCAACTAATACCATACAGATTAAACATACTGGTGGACACTGTTCTAAATAAGACGGATCGAATCATTACAGGATGCTTTAGACCCACTCCAGTCCCTAAAATCTACTCCAGTACAGGAATAATTCCACCTAAGAACAGAAGAGTTGTAGACGCAAATGCCGAGAAATAAAAAAACCACCATCATCCCTACACAATCACCCAACATCCCAACTCTGCGCATTATGAACTGTGTATACATGTTAAATAATAAGGGAGATAAACGGCATCCTTGGAGTACTCTATTCTCCAAAGTGCATTCATCAGATAGCAACCCATCCATTCGAATATGCCAGGTTATGTTGATACAGTTTGCTAAAAAGATGAGTCAAATGTTTAGGTTTTATACCTTAATAACACTATATAGCGAAACAGACACATTAAAACTGAGATGAAATCAAGAATTTATAAAGCCAGTGTAAGACCAGTCATGACATATGCCTCAGAAACAAGACCCGACACAGCCACAATGCAAAGGCTACTGGAAATGGCAGAGATGAGAGTACTGAGAAGCATTACAGGAAATATGCTAAGAGATCGAAAGAGAAGTGAAGACATTAGAAGAAAATGTAACGTACAGTGTATAAATGAATGGACACAAAATAGAAAAAAAGAATGGAATAACCACATAGCAGAATAGAGGTTCAAGAGCTACCTATCACAGTTTCTAGCATCCTAGAAACAAAAATAAGCCTCCTTAAATGTTATGTGTACTCAGTGCTTCTGTACGGAGTAGAAACGTGGACATTGAAGGCGAAAACCTTATCAAAACTTCAGGCTTTTGAGCTATGGTTATACAGAAGGATCCTGAAGATACCATGGACAGATAAAGTCACCAATGAAAAAGTACTGCGGAGGATGAAGACAACTGCGGATTTGGTCAACATCGCGAAGGGCCGTAAGATGCAGTACTTGGGACATACAATGATAAATTAAGGCAGATACGAGCTGCTTTAATGCATTTTGCAAGATAAAATTGAAGAAAAAAGAGCCCCAGGACGAAGAAGAATATCCTGGCTTGCTAACCTAAGAGCATGGTATAGAAAGACCTCAACACAGCTATTTCGTATAGAAACCAACAAAGTCATCATAGCCAGAATGATCGGCAACGTTCGGAACGGATAGGCATCCTAAGAAGAAGAAGAAGAATGGAGGAGACCCGTACCGTCAAAATAGCAAAAGATAAGTCACCAATCGGCAGAAGAAGTATTGGACGACCGAGCAAAAGATGGAGTAACAACCTTACATAGAGGTATTAGTCCGCCAATGAACAAGCAGAATTGCTTATTAAGAGAAAGAAGAAGAAAAAGTGTTTAGGTACATCCATTGTTGTCAGTATGTTCCATAGTTTGTCTCATCTAATATTATCAAAGGCCTTTGTATAATCAAAAAAACATAAATATCGGGATCTGATATTCTCTGGCTTTTTCTACCATGTTTGTTACATTAAGGATTCGTTTTCTAGTACCTCTGTTCTTCATAAATCCAGCCTGCTCAAGTGCTATTTGCCAATTTATGAAGTTTTCTAGACGATGTTGTAGGATGTACTCTTAGAGGATAATCTTACTGGCGTGTGATATTAGAGCTGATAGTTTACAGATGTTGCAATTATTTGTTGGACCTTTTTTATGTAAAGGTGTAATTACGGTCTTTCTCCAATCCTCGGGCCACCCGCCTAAGTGTCAAATTTTATTACTTAATCGATGTAATATTCTCACTCCACATACCTACCGGAAGATGCTCAAGACATCAGTGGTAATGAAATCATAGCCTGCTGCTTTGCTTAACTTAAGTCTTTTCAGAGCAAATTCCCCTTCGAAAAACGTATGTCAGGTTCAGATTCAAAGACTGTGTTGTCGGTGCCTGAGAGAGGAGCATGATGTATCCATGTTGAAAAAGAGTGGAAAGTGGAGAGCCTGACATTCAGGTACATACGGAGTGTCCGCGGGTATCTAATCTTTATTGACGTATAAAAACTTACAATACGCCCTTCAAACACCTAAAACCTTGTCAAAATCCGTCTTTACATTGCCTTCATCATCTTTGATACACCAAGATTTCTGCTTGACTTTATCGAAGAGTTCTTTGGTGTTCTCTGCTGATTTTCTCTATTTACTTGTTCTTTTCTCGTCTACAAGCAGTCTGAATAGCTGTCGGTACTGGGAATGCTTAAGAGGGTTCTCCATTCCATTAATTTTTTTTCTTTCTTCAACGGGGTCAAAAGTGTCTGCAGACCTCCACACTTTTTTTGGTCCAGTTGAGTAGGCATTGACTATGGCTCACAGTCAGCCAAAAGGTATTTTTAAACAATAGCCAAATCTTTTCGGAATCATGAGTGCCCATGGTTAGTAAAATATTTTCCAATCTTTTATTACATTGGTTTTTAAGTTGTTGTGTATATTTTATTTGTGATATCTTCTTGTTTCGAACCCTAGCACACGCTTTGAATGTTGCTTTAGTGTTGCAAAAAGGAGTTGGTAAACAAAGTCAACAGTCAGCGTCAGGTCGTGTTTCACATTGATTAATAAATGATTTTCAACGATGTTTAATCATTATGTAATCGATTTGATTTCGGTGTCGTCTATTAGGTGGGATCCAAGTGTACAATCTTCTGGGATGGTCCTTATACACAGAGTTTATTATTGCCAAATCATTGTCAACGCAGAACTGGATAATGCGGTCTCCTCTTGGATTGCGTTCACCTATTCCACATCTGCCCACAACGTTTTGTATATGTTTGACAGTCATAGTAACACTGATTTTTGAGTTAAAATCGCTCATGATGATAGCGATTTATCTATTTGGGATATTTTGGAGATATAATTCAAGCTCGTTGAAGATAGATTCATTTGTGTTATAAAGGGATCTATTCAGTCTTAAAGAAATGATACGACCACTGATAGCTCGATAGCTCAATATATAGGAAGAAGGAGATTTTGAAACCCAAAAGCTAACACCAATAATACTTTTGTTATTTACACTGTACTAATATACTCAAAATTTATAAAATTATAGCTTTCCCGAGGTAAATAGATATAAATTTGTTTGAAGAAAAAAAAATAAGTTTCTTTAAGATGTAGAAGGTGGCCAAAGAAACTAAAAATCACAGGACAATTAAAGCAATCCCAAAAAGATCGTATTTAAGTGAAAGACATAATCAAGTGTCTAGCAGTACACCTAGAGTAGTACTACTACTACTAGAACTTCACACACAACCCTAAGAAAAATGTCAGATTCCCGAAATGGTACATTTGGCAGTACATGCTGAAAAATAATCTACATCAAACACATTAACCTGTGTTTGCTACTAACATTTAGTTTGCGGAGACCCACGTGGAGTTTTAGTGCCACATTGTATTTAACGAGACGACCAGAAGAATTTTTCTATACAAGTTGACAGAAAAGACGCTAGAACATAGAGCCATCTGGGTTTTTAACAACTAGATGAACATAAAAATCTCATCTGGGCATCCAGGGCAAGCAGGTGGTTATTTCGCCAAGCAATCTATAAAAAGAGATACCTAAGAAGAACCAATGCCAATATTTTAAGACAATCGCATAAATAAACATTTATTTTTTAAATTATAAATTTTACTCCTAGTTTATTTATACTTACAGATGGTACCTGAAGTTCTACATCCATAAGGAATCAAACTACTCGGGGAGACAGCTGCGGAACACAACAACCTGATGGTATCTGGAGAAATGGGATCCTTTTCGCTAGCGCTACGTCGCAGCTTCGAAGGATTTTTGCTGTGGACTCTCCAAAAGCGACAAACGTCTCTGAAAACGTCCCATACCTGGAAACAAAGGGTTACAAATGGGTAAACGAAACAACATGAACGTGATTAGTTTGTATTAGGTGTACTATAAAAATATATTACTGCTAATAAATATATTTTTTTATAGCCCTTTTTCTATCCGAATTGTCGAATAAAGGCCTCTCCCATTTCTCGCCATTCATCCCTGTTGTGTGCTAGGCGTTTCCACATTGGTCCTGCGACTCTTTTGATATCGTCGCTCCAGCGCATTTGAGGTCTTCCTCTTGGTCTCTTCGCATCGTACGGTCGCCAGTTTCCGACTTCTTTGTTCCATCTACCATCTTCGAGACGTTCGTTGTGTCCAGCCCATTTCCATTTTAATTTAGCTGCTTGTTTCGCGGCGTCCTTTATTTTTGTTTTGTTCCGGATTGCTTCGTTCGTTTGCCGATCTATTAGTGAGATACCAAGCATCTGTCGTTCCATGGCTCGCTGAGTTTTTCGAATCTTGTCCATGTTCTTTTTTGTGAATGTCCAGGTTTGAGCTCCGTAAGTGAGAACGGGAAGGATACAAGAATCGAACACTTTGGTTCGAAGGTTTTGGGGTATCTTTTTGTCTTTCAGTATGTATGAAAGTTTTCCAAATGCGGCCCATCCCATTCTTACTCGTCTGCTTATTTCGGTAGTCTTTTATTCGACATTAGCTTAGTTTTACTCAGATTCATTTTCAGTCCTTTTTTTATGGATTCCGTATGAAGCTCATCGATCATCGTCTTCAGTTCTTTCCAGCTGTCGGCTATTAGTACTACGTCATCTGCATATCTTAGATGGTTTAAATACTTTCCGTTTATCGATAGTCCCTTCGTTTCCCAATTTAGTGATTTAAAGATGTCTTCAAGTGCGGCAGTAAATAGTTTTGGAGATATGGTGTCTCCCTGTCTTACTCCTCGGTTGATTTTTATTGGCCTCGTTTTCATTCCGTTATCCATCGTGACTACCATTTCAGCGTGTTGATATATATTATGTATTAATATCCTATATCTAGAATCTATTCTGCTGTTGACCAGTGCTTCCTCAATAGCCCATAATTCTATGCTGTCAAAAGCTTTCTCGTAGTCTATAAATGCTAAACAGATTGGTAAATTGTATTCGTTAACTTTTTCTATTAGGACCTTTAGTGTGTGAAGATGGTCACATGTACTGAACCCTTTTCTAAATCCGGCTTGCTCTACTGGTTGATATACATCGAACTTTGTTGTCAATCTATTTGTAATTATTTTTGTGAATGTTTTATAAAGTTGTGATAGTAGTGATATTGGACGATAATTTTTCAGATCTGTATTGTCCCCTTTTTTGTGTATTAATATTGTGTTAGCAGTATTCCATTCCTTTGGTATGTTTCCTTCAAATAGGCATTTATTAAAAAGTATTTTTAGGTACCTGATGACTTCTTCTCCGCCTTCTTTCAACATTTCTGCCAGAATTCCATCACTACCCGGTGCTTTATTTCTTTTCATTTCTTTAATTGCATTTTCTATTTCTACTTCGCTTATTTCGGGCATTACTTCAGAATTTACGTTTGTTATTTGTCTTTTCAGATTTTGCTTTGAAGAGTCGGGGGGATCGTTTCTTGAGCGGTATAACTCAGTATAGAAGTTTTCAACTATGTTTGATATCTGAGCTTTGCTTGTTTCTAGTTGGCCTTGTTGATTTTTCATAGTTATAATATTTTTCTTTCCTAATTTCGGTTTGGTATATTTCAGACTTCGATTTTTCTCTATCACTCTTTCTACATGTTCTTGTTGATGTTTTTTAATATCGTCTTTTATCTGTTTTCGTATGGCTCGATTAAGTTCTTTGTATTCTGTGGTATTTCTTTTGTTTAGTGACAGGAGCTCTTTTCGTTGTTTCAGCATATTCTTCGATTCTGCACTTATTTTGGATTTTTTGTTGTTATGGCGGGTTGCTACTTCTGAGCTAGCATTCAATAGTTCTTTTGTTATAACTGAGTTAATTTTATTAACGCTGAGTTGTTCTAGATTCAGTGCTTGGGCGGTTTTTAATTTACTAGCATATTTTTCTTTATCGACTTTTAGCTTTTCTGTGTCTATTTGTATCGTGTTATTAAAGTTAATTCTACGTTTGCTATACTTAATCCTTAGTTTAGCTCTAACCATTCTGTGATCACTACCCAGAGAGACATTATTTATTACTGTTACATCTTCTACGATACCTTTCTTGTTACACATGATGTAATCGATTTCGTTCCTTGTTTTTCCGTCTGGTGATAACCACGTCCACTTTCTTTGCGGTTTTTTCTTATAAAATGTGTTCATTACGAAATATTTGTTGCTATGTAGGAAGTTAACCAGGGTTTCTCCTCTCTCATTTCTAACACCATAGCCGAATTCACCAATATAGTTTTCGCTTTCTTCTAGTCGTTGTCCAATCTTAGCGTTGAAATCTCCTATTATAAGTGTGTAAGTGCTGTGATAGTTCGTGTTGGTTTCTATTATTTTCTCGTAGTATAATAAATAAATAAATATATTAATAATATAATAATAAATGCAACTACATAGGTGGTTTGTCTTATAATAATCCATTTAATTCACTATAAAACTTTTGACAACGGTTCTTGTTTAACCCCTTACTGCATGATTTTTAATTTTTTATAAAAAATCTGTGATTACAAACTTGACTTCAAGATTACGGTAAAAATATAAAAAAAATCCTACTTGGTTAGTTTTTGTATTTTTGTATTTTTTTGTGTGTCATATATGGCACACTATGCACTAAAACAAGATTTAACAAGTAAAATCAATAAAAAATGACATTTATTACTTTATAATTATAATAATTATTCAGTGTGAAAGTTGTAAAAATAATTTCTATTTAAGCAAAAAAAAACTGCACACTTCTCACATTTTCTCGATATCTTTTTGAACCAATTTTCCATAGCTCCACATAGAGGACCCCTTTTTGTAGTAAAACCAGCTTTATTAACTTTGTCTAAACACTCTGCTACTTTTGAAATCTGCCAGAGCTAAATTATTATGCTCATTGTCACTTCTCCAAAAAATCCACGTATTGACAGTCATCAAATCAATAAGATGAAAAAATATACGCATGTACCATTTTTTGGATCTGAGTTTGATCCTATATTATCCCAACATTGAATCCAGGAGATCTACTCCCCCATATACTTGTTGTAGATCGTTACAGCTTTTGAACATGGAACCATTATATGTGCATTAACCTTTTTCGAAAACCTTTTAACTTCAACTGTTGGCATACTCCCAGCATATGTTGATAAAATGTTTACTAATTTGTTGTCATGTAAAAACAGATTTCAAATTTTTATACCATCAATTGTGGCGACTTTCTCTACCATAGCTCCTAAGTCGTTCTTTTTTAATTTAGCCTCTTTTGGCATATTACTGTTTGGCACTCTGGTTATTCTAACTGTTCCTAGTGGTAACATACACTATTTCGTTAGATAAATTGCAATGGCACGCTGTGAATCAATTGTCAAAGAATATTTTGTATTTATAGTATGGTACGTTTGTTAGCCGAAGAACCACATTTGAACTTACACTAAATCAGGAAACCATCGGGTACATTAGTTTGGCTTCCTACAAAAATTTCATAATGTAGGAAAAACATGCTAACACTAAGACAAACCCTTATATCCTTTATCCCGTGGATATTTTTGTGGGATTTTTGCGGATTATATTGTTTTATAGATGAACACGCCTTTGTTGGAACTATCTGCTCATAGCTAAAAATTCCTCTTTCGGAACTTTAAATAAATGATTCCTTAGTTTGTTTAGTAGCGGTCAGATTTTAAAAAGTTTATCATGACCAGGATTACCGGCAGCAATAGCATCGTTATTGTTCGCAAAATGTAAAAAATGTTTTATTTTTTCCCATCTATTGCATGACATACGGGTAACGGGTAGATACACTTAACGATCCCGGTAAAGTTAGGTCTACTACAGGTTCGCGACCCTGCCTTGCCTACGTGAGACGGCGTCGAAGGTGGCTACTTTATCTATTAATTGAAGACGTTTCGCTTTCTAATCAGAAAGCATCATCAGTTCATCTAAAAAGAACAGTATGAAAAACCAAACATCCATAGAAAAGTTATTACATGTATGTTACCTCAAAAAGACATGTAGCAGTCAATGATCTTAAATGTGTAAAAAAGCTTACTACAATGGACATTCTGAGATCATGTTGTATAAACAATTAATTGAAACTAGATACAGTTTACAAATTAACAAACTTAGCACAGCAAAAGAACATGTGGTAATTGTACATGTATATAAAAAATTATGTAAAAAACTTAAGTAAAAAACATTAAAATTAATATGCAAGAGAACTAGAAAGATCGTAAGATGCACTTCCAACAGTATATTATTAGTTAAATTTAATTTTGACCTTAGGTAACATTATTAATAAATTAAGATTGAAATATAATATTTAAAAGTAAAATGAAGTTACCAGTCTTTAGCTTATTAGGTGCTGAAGATAAATGAAAGCAACAGGTTTAACACCCACGCAAACAACGTGAAAAGACAGTGGCCTTGAGGTCAAAATATGACAGAACAGCAAGGCAGTTACCAACCTCTCGTGCAATAGAGCGGTATATTTAAAAATATGATAAATTTGGTGACAACTTGTCAGTAAATTTCTAATAACACATAACACATCTTCAATAAGTTTGTTACACCATTTAAGATCATTGACTGCTACATGTCTTTTTGAGGTAACATACATGTAATAACTTTTCTATGGATGTTTGGTTTTTCATACTGTTCTTTTTAGATGAACTGATGATACTTTCTGATTGAAAGCGAAACGTCTTCAATAAATAGATAAGGTAGCCACCTTCTTTGTCTTTTTTCTCCACCTTTTGACCGAAAAACCCACCACTCTTTGAGTGATCCTTAATTTATATTGGATTGACGGTTGTACTTCTTTTCTCGATATATATATATAAATATATATTATATATAAATATATAATATATATATATATATATAATATATATGTTCCTGTCTCTGTCATTAAAAAATTCCTCTATATATATATTCTTTCCATCTTTCCTAATTTTTGTTCCGTCTCCACTGAAATATTTCCTTGTTTGTTCAATAGTATGCTTGAGGTTTTTTGTTTCGCTACCCCAGATAATTCTTAACTTTCTTATGAAAACTGAAGTTATCGATTTGTTTTGTAAGTCTTATATTTCTTGGCATTTGCTAGCGAAATAAGTGTCCGCTGGAAACTTATACTGACTTGAAGCTTGATACTGAATTATGTTGATATTTTTTTGCTTTTTTTCTGTCCTCAATCATTTCCAAGATTTATTTTTGTCATCCAATCTTCTTTCTTGCATCTGGTTTTGTGAGTTCTCTGCGAATGTTTTAAATAATTCCATTTTTAAAGAATTGCAACGTTGTTGTTCTACAATCACCATCAATTGATGCCGGTGATGGATTCTAGGTTTTCATTAATTTTTTGTTTCAGGTTTTCTTTGACGTCTTCTGATTTTAATTTTTGTATGTTTAGTTTACCACTTTTGTAGTTTTTTTGTATCCTTTTTAAGTGAAGTTAGAATTTTGCTACAAGAGATTGTGGTACGACGCCACATCTGCACCTGGGTCGCTTTCACCGATTGTATTGCGTTTCGGTATCTATGGTTGTTTCTTCCCCTGCCAAATCTTGGCATCCGAGAACCATAATTAGTACGGTGATGCTTGTCACTAACTGCCATGACGATTTCTAGGGATACTCTACGAGTCTTTAATGCAGTGGTTCCCCGTTACCTTCTGCATTCTTTTGCCGTTGATCATTCCTTGGTTCACCTGCCTTCGAGATAGATTTCTCTATCTCAGGACAAAAGAGTGCCCTTGCATCTACCAGCTCCTCTGCCTGAAACCGTTGGCCAGTATTTGACTTGATTCTATATCAACCCTAAAATCGAGGGTTGCCACTTACCCATCCGAACCGTACCGAAGTTTTGCTTCTCCGCCATGGCTGCCGTTGTGGACTTCATCCGTAACCCTGGACAAGGGACCCTAAACAGGCACTAGTTTCCCGGGTCAGGAAACCCCGGAATCTGCGGACGGCAGGGATTGATTCATTTTCCCTGATAGAACTAACTTCAAGAATTTAAAGAGTTACTACCCGTTACCCGTAGTTGCTACCGTGATTTATAAATCACCGTGATTAAATCACCAGTAGTGAAATTACGTCCCATCACTAGCATGCATTGTTTTTGTAAACCTTTTGAGTATATGATTGTATAAATGACATATTAAAAAATGAACAGATTATATACTTTTTTATCGCGATCGTGTATATAAATTATTTTTACCCTTGTTCTTTCGTCCTTCTAATATGTAATACTCTAGAAACAAGTGCTCACATCACGTTGATTAAAAATATCGACCTATAAATGAAACAATTGCACTTTATTTCGAACGTTCGTGTTTGTAGTCTGTAGATAACAGAAGATAAATCTCCCGCTGTTTTCTTATACTATGTCAAGATGCTCGTACCGTAAAACTTCAAAACAATTCCCTAGATGCTCCTCTGCACGCTTTTCTTGTATAACAAGTATGTGCAACGATATATTTTGGACGGAAAACCATTTATTTCCCGGTGAACATTCAATAATGAAAAAGGTAGCGTTGAATTGTGAAATTGATAACATCAGTTTTCATAAAATATACTAAAGCAAAAAGAAGAAAAAATAATATTAAGGAGGAAAATTAGTAATTATAATTTTGTAGTACAGCTATACAACATTGCAAGAAGTTAAGATAGGGAATAATATTTACGTAAAGAAAAACACAAAAGATGTAATAGTCCAGTCATCAGAGATTTGTAGCATTTTAAAATTCGTTGGTATATATTGAAATCGCCTCGTGTATGTATAACAACACCGAAATACACGATAATTTCAGTGTATTTCAGTTTTCTATCGTACAAGTTAGAACACCGAAACATATTTCGATCCCTTTTGCGTCGCCGAGTTGATATAAACACGTTTTAAAAGTTTGATTTTGTAACACATATGTGTATTTCCTTTTTATTCTTTTGATCTAAACCGCTTTAAGATATTTTTCGTAGTCAAATGAACGAAATATTTCAGTTTATATGTTTGTTTATACTAAGTTGGGAAGCAAATGGTTTTTAAGGATTTCATCACTCTCGCAGAAGCCACTGTCAAGGGCAGTTGGTGTCTGTGTTAGTCCGAATTTTCTTCAGATTTGTAAATGTTTTTTTATTGTTTCTTTTGTTATGAAAATAAGTGGTTTTGTGGCAGTTAATAGTTACAGTTAAAGTGAGGTTGAAAAGGGCAACGAACCGGCAACTTTGTCGAAGAAAAAGTGATTATACTCAAAGTAATGTGTCTGTTAAAGTAAGAGTAATCACTGTTTTTTGTTACTATTTATAACTGGGAATAAGCCACAATTAATGATAAAAATACGTTTATTGACGTTTCAATTTCCAATTCGGAAATCGTTCTCAAAATACAAACAGTAAATTGAATTGGAAATTGAAACGTCAATAAACGTATTTTTATCTTTAATTGTGGCTTATTCCCAGTTATAAATAGTAATTAATTTACAATGCCACAAGAAAATAGCTTCAGAACTGTTTTTTGTTGTATGCCATATTTGTTGTATGCCATTTTGTTGTATGTATATTATCTGAGATATTTGTAAAACGGCGTGTACAACAAATTTTTAAATATAACCACGATGGTTCTAGTTTTGCAAGAAGCCGAGTCAAAGTTTGTGTCTAGTGCCGCCAATTCAACCTCAAATTGTTGTCCTAATTAAGCCGTTTTAGAACATTTTTCACAGTGAAGATGAATTTGTTCGAGTGGTAGACAGTTTGAATTCCAGTTCCTACCCCCAGAAATTTAAAGTAAAGTGTAATCTAGTGAAACTCTGGTAACTTTTTTTGTTTGAATTTTTAAAGCAAAGATAGACATTTTTTTTATAATAATTTGCTTTCATAACAATTTACTTTGCAATAATTATTATTGTAAATTTTAGGGTGTGGCCATAGCTGTCATTTTGTTCTCAGTTTTAAAATTCAATATTGACATCTGACAGCTAGTTTTATTTTTTGACACTATTTTGTTTTGTTTTTTAAAAAAAGGTTAACCTCTATACATAATTTATTTTAAAAGATATTTTTTATTCGTAATAATTTATTTCTGCCACAAGTTATTCCCAGTAAAATTTGTAATATTGTAGGATCTTCAACTTCTAAGAGTTTGTAAACGGATAAGACATAGTCAGTTTTTCTTCTTTGGTATTTTGGTATAATTCTTTGTAACTAGTTATATAGTAATTATTTTTATATTATCTGTACTTGTAACTGTTTGTGATGAGACAGCAATAACTGTTTAATTTTAATTCATTCATCCAATCATTTAAAAAGGTATATTTTTCATTTCTAATAATTAGTTCAATAATTACAACTAGTTTGTATAATCGTTGTAATTTGGCACTTCGAAGCGGCGTCCCATTTTAAATAGCTAGAGGACCTTCTTGTGTTTTTTGTCCATTTGCCCAAGAGGTTCATGTAAGTACCCCTTTGTTTCATTTTTTTGTAGTTGCCTCAATCCAACCACTTTGCCATTCACTTATCCATAGAGCCGTTTGCATAAGTTTTGTTTATTTTGCTTGCCCTATCTCCACCTACAGTAATTTCTGTCCCCAATTTTCAAACCCTAATAGTAATAACCTATGTGGCAGGCAAAATTTTTCTTTACAGATTTGATCCCCAAAAAAGAGACGAATAAGCTGAATTTTGCTAAGAATGTCAATTTTAAAACCCCAAAAAAATGCGCAAAAAAGTTCATGCCACTACTACCTCCGGGCTTTCCCCTAAAACGCCCTTGTAGGGGGGAAAACGGAAAATATCGATTTATCAAGAATCTGTACACCGTAGAAAAATATGGAGTGAAAAAAGACGAACTTCCAGGCTTTAGAATCTAAGACCTTGATTTAATATAATAACCACGGAATTGTTCCGTAAAGCAGTCAATAAAATTTGAATTTGTATGATGATCACCAACATCCGAAACGATAGACAAACTATAAAGAAGATTTATAGGTTTATTTGCATTACCAAATCAAATGCTTCAGTCAAATTTACAATCTTTTACCTTCTGTTGTTTTTTCTGAAATCTACACGCTTTTTATGGGATTTGAACACATATAAAGCAAGCCTTACTCACCTGTTCAATACTTTCCCTAACGGAGATCTCGTGGAAACATACACAGCCCATTTCTTTGCTTCTTCTTTGGCCCTCTTCGGAGGAGATCATTCTGTCTTCGAGTTGGTCTGTTTTGTTACCTACCAGTACGACCGGTACGTCCCCACAGCCTTCTTTGATGGGACTACCCAGCCGCCGTCTTCTCTTATTGTAGTTAATGAGGAACTTAAGTCGATGGCATTCGTCGAAGGAACATTTGTCCGTAACGGAGTACATGAGGATAAAGGCTTCTGCCCATCTGATGTTGGCTTCTAGGCCGACACATTCTGATTCCTAAAAATGAAGTAAAAAAAGTGTTAGTAAAAATATTTCTCCACATATATGTACACTTCAGTAATTTCAAGAAACAAAAGGTTTTAAAATAATTCTCTAACGTTATTGATAAAGTATCAATAATCGATTATAAAGTTTAGCAGAATTTTTCGTGATAAAAAGGAAAATCAAGAGCTATGCCAGATACTATAGGCATTTTTCCATATCCTCGATGAAGAAGTCATGAAACTTATAGTCGGAGAAACCAACAGATTCACGGAACAAACTTTGGCTTCTAACGAAGCAAAACAATATAAAATCCACAAGGAATCTACGTTCCTGTAGTTGGCTGTATACCATATATTAAAAAAATTATTAAAATCCTTTGTAAAAGGTATATATTTAAAAACCCAATCGGGCTATCTTAGACAAAACGTTTTCGGAATCCATATTCCATCATCAGTGTCTAGGTGTACATGAATGTAGCCACTAAATATGTGGGTAAAAACCCGTTAAAAATTATTTAGTTAAATTTAGTTTACATTATTTCTTATAAAATATTAAGATGATTTAAGTTACCGTTAGATTTGGTAACATGGCGACATATGACTCCACGTGAAGTTGCTAGTCCTGAGATGGTGTGTCTACGAGGACTTTATGAAAGCAACTCATGGAAGTTGCTAAAGTTGTTAAAAACCAAATACATGTTGTAGGAATCTTAAGAGCAAATATGAAAAATATTCCAAAAGATGTCCTTCAAGGAAAAATAAAAAACGGAGAGATGGTGTCGCGCGAGGGACAAAACGGAAAAGTAGCTTTGAAATAAAGAGATACGCGAGATGATAGGTTGCTGTCAACAAAGCATGCCCCAATTATGACGCCAGTTCATCCAGAATTACAAAAGAACAGTCAAGTGAAACCAAGGAACCGAACGATGCCATAGCTAGCACCTTCGGTATTACCAATGTACAAGCATCAACAAGTGGTAGCGATTTGCCTTATCCCTGGAAAACCAGATGGAGTCCGAAAATTTCGAAGACCTCCCAGAAGCAACCACTGACATAGGGGAGCCAGTTCTAGTAAAGAAAAACGAAAAATCCTGAAAGGCAGCAGAGAAGCCACTTGCAATTCGGCCTACAATATAGGAAAAACTAGGATCGATTTGCCAAATCAGATTAAAAGTATATATTTCAAGATGTTTTTGTAGTTTTGTTTACATGAGCCACAAATAAAATGCAACTCAGGTATTCAATTTTCTACCACGCAATAGTAAAGGGGGATATTTCAAGGTTGTTATGTCGGAGGTATTTGTTTGTTTAAGTTGGTAGACAAAACTAGCTGCAAGACGAGAAGGGGAAATGGATTGTGGCGTCGAATTTGTAGAATGTAACGCAGAAAGGCAGTCAAGCTAAATCAACCGAATGATGAGGTCAAGCTAGAGCATTTAGACGAGAAGGTTGGGGCAATTTGGAATCAACGGTCGGTTCATTTTTTCTTGGTGTAATGTCTTAAGACCGGTAAGGTTTTAATACTATTTGCATTAATAGCATCTTAAACAGAGTATCAACCAAAAGATTTATGCAGTGTACCGGAAATTAATGGAATTTTTGAAGATTAATATATAGGATGTCCCCAACGGTTTTTTTGTTTGTCTGCTTGATTCGACCCCATTCACGTCTTAGATCGTCGTTCCTGAGTATAGAAATGGTTTCCTGTGTTCCAGTTTGAGAATTTGTCCAAGTAGCTTTCCCAGAGATGTAGCAAGTTTTTTTTTAAAGTTAAGTAGTGCAATATATGAAAATAAGGTAACAATTGATATATTAATTTTTTTTCAAGTTATATAGACATTTTTAATAATTGCTTTCATTAAAATAAAAGAATTTGTAATAATTAAAGTTTTATATTATGTTAGAGTCGTAGCTAAAAAATGTCATATTTTATCCTGTCTTAAAATGTTATGTTGACATATGACATTTTGCTCTAATCCATTGTTGTTGTAAAACAATTTTCATTTGATTATTATATAGAAAAGATATTTCTTATATAAGGTTACATTTTACAGTATTTTCATAAAAAGGATATCCTTAAGTTTTGATAATCTAATTTGGCCATATTATAACCTAGGAACCATTTCAAGAATTTTTGTAGCAATCTCTTTTGTAAACAAATAACACGTAAGTTTTTGTTAATTTGTATTATTTTATATAGTATGCTCTTGTGTAATCTGTATTTTTGAAAACTGTTTGTTTGAGACAAAATTGTTGTTGTTGTTTTGTGTTTTAATTTAGAAAAGTCTCCTAATTCTTGTATGTATTTTAGATTTTAGGGAAGAAGAATTTTTTCTTTCTCCCAGCAGGAAGTTTTCTTCAAAGCGGCGTCCAAATAGAAATAGCTAGAGGTAACCTTGTCTGCCATATCTTATTTCGTTTTTGACCCAGGAGATTTATGTAAGTATCCCTTTGTTTTCATTTTGTAGATACCCCAATCCGACCAATTTTATTTCAACTTATCCACGACCCAGCTCTCCAACAAACCTTAAGTGCCGTACGCACTAGTTTCGATTATTTTGTTTGCCCAATCTTCTACCCCATATTCTTACCCTGAGGCAAGCAAAATAGTTCGTTACAACATGACATATAACATTGTCTTTTAACAAACGAACTCATTATATGAGCTATGCAGCAGGCAATGTGTTAAATATTTGTCATAGATTTTGCTTCGCTGCCGTTTATCTATGTCCATCTTTTTTTTTATTTTTCTTAATCTCAAATATTCTTCATGTTTCTTCTTGGATATAAGGTCACAAGATTTAAAACATATTTGATTTTTTATGTCCTTGTTTTAAAGGAGAATTATTAAATCACCCTGTACAACATCCTCTCATTACCAACGAGGCATTATCGGCTTTGTTGATGTTTAGCCCCATCGTCAAGATAATCCTCTAAAATTAGAAATTTCTGAAACGTAGTTATAATATTATCCGATGGAGCATTATTTGCTTACTTTCCCTTTGTGTTAGATTGTCGAGAAGTTTCTAACCTTCAAAGAAGATCAAAACCAACCACTCGTTCAAATCCATCCTCTGCTTTCGACCTAGTTATAGTGTTTCCGTGTTTCCGCTATTGCGTCTCGCACAAAATAATATCCTTCGACTGGAACGATATCCCTAAGCGATTACAACATTATAACTGCGTACGTATCTTGTCCCTCGGGAAATTCGTTGATTTTTAAGGACAGTTCCGAACAATTGAAATTGTCGATAGTTTTGTGTGGGTTTGCTTGCATTTAGAGATGCATTTAGGGATGCGTGATGGAAAAAGTCTTGCTTATAGATGGAATACTAAAACGATACGTTGACACAAATAAACGTTTTATTCTAACATAAATTCCTGTTTATAAAAATATCTTAATTCTTCTTGTTGACGTTGACACTTGTCACTTACAGGTAATGCCAACACTTAACATAAAAATATAAAATATATAATTGTAATACCAACAATGCATTCAAGGGTATTTTTTTTATACATTTTTAAAGAAAAACAAAGCAAAATCAGCTGTACGTCTTCACGGATTTGTCATCAGCTATCCCTCATATAACTTTTAGATCCTTCAAAAATATGTATAAGATTTTTTAGCTTTTTTTCGTTTACTGGCCTAATTATTCAGTTCGTCTTAGAGGGGAGCATACTACAGTTAAAAATTACTGTTCGTTACAACAAAACGTCATTTTGTCTTGATTTTGTAACTGATTCAAATATTTTTAATAAAACGTATAAACAACTTTAAGAAATTATACGAAATTGCGATTACTAATTATTGCTAACCACACCTGAAATCCTCTTCCTAGGGGAATAAGTGTCTTTGATTCTGTTTTATTGTAGAGATTTGAGAGGAACTTATTTAGGTAATAGCTTTTATCTGCTCCATTAATTGTCAGAATTAACCTTATTTGATCCTTTCAAATTGCAAGGAAGCATATTGATATTTTAGTGACACTCTTGAACCAAATTTATACTTCAGGCGTATTATCCAAAGAATGGTTAACATCGATTTTTATTTATCTCCCTAAAAAGAAAAACGCATATGCTAAAGTTACTACTTAAAGTCATCCATAACCGAATATATCACAACTGGACATAGACGTTAATGATACACAATTTGGTGTTCGCAAAGGCCTAGGAACGCGTGAAGCTCTTTTTTCACTTAATATACCGTGAAACGGGGTGAGATTGATCAATTTTGACTATTTGATTTGTATTTTAAACGTTTTTGTGTCTGTTCTATATTTAAACACTTCACGTGGTATATTAATATCTAAAGAGTAGTGATTTAACACTAGTTTTGTTTTAATGATTACGAAAATCCACTTATCTCATAAAAAATGGGTGATCAATCTTAGACCCGTGACTGGGGTGAGATTGATCATGATGATTTTATAGCATGAAACAGTAGTGCTTTTAAATAGAATATGATCAATCTTAACGCTGACTAATTCGGTCAGACAGTTTTTCGAATTTTTACAAAGGGGTGAGATTGATCATGCGGGGTGAGAATGATCACACTATTTGTATTGTACTATTCTTTATTTATACATAGTTTAACAACTAAAAATGTAATTCAGAACAATGTATAGAAAAAGAAAATTTAATTTAACATTCTTTTATATTAATTTCTCCAAGAAATGATATTTTTGTATCCTATCAGAAATCGTCTCAAGTGTGGGATCTGGTAACACAGCAACTACTTCCTTGAAGGGAACAGTGGATATGTCATTTTCAATTATTTTGAAATCTTCCTCGATCCTGCTGATTTAAGGCCTTGAACTTCGATTTCTTCTCCTTGCAAAACACCTTTTACCTGACAGACATAGCGAAATTCCGTCTTTTTCCGAGAACCAGACAAAAATCTTACTAACAGGAATTTTCCCTGCGTGATGTTTTCTAATGAAGGACATAAGTATTCAACCTCCTCTTCATCTTTGCTAATATCAACATCACTGTTGCTGTCATCTAATTCCAGGT